AGTACCCTATTATGATCCAAACAAACACTAAATTGATACGTGTGCGCATAAGAATTTGGATTTAAAGCGACATATATATACCATCTTTTTTAAGATTCATTAGTAAAAAGATATTACCTATATTGTAATTATATTATTTTCCGAATTTTTATATTTTAATAGGTAACTGTTTTATAGATTGAAACATGATTCTTTCGTAGAAATGTTATTTGAGCAATGTTTGTCATAACTTGTAAGGCTATAAGACCAAAAATCATTTTTCCCCATATTATTTACAAGTTGTAAGGTATTTTTTATTTAATTTCTTGCTTATGATCAATTTATTCCACAAGGTAACTATCCTATATTCAAATGCTTGCATTGATTTAAAAGAACTGGAAAAAATTATGTTCATTTTGTTCAATTGCAATTATATCTTTAAAGAAAAATTAATCAATTAACCCTTATAATCTTACTGAGTTCGTAACTTAGTCCTTATAATTTGACTCGTCTCTTGACTCAATCCTTAAATGCCCCATTTAATATGATAGAAGAGTTTTTGATGGAAGTGGAATTAGAATTAGGAGTGGAAGAGGAAATAAGTTGTAAAACATGTTTGGTACAATCATAGAAGTGGGATATAACTTTAAATTGAAATATGCATTAATAAAATAAAAATACCAAATTGCCCTTGGAATAAAAATCTCCCTGCCAAAAAAAATCTCCTCCACCACCATATGCAAAACACAATCAAAGGAACCACCATCGAACAAGTGATTTCAGTTTGAATGGGAGATTCACAAGCTTCAGCTTTGCATATTGCAATTACAACTTTAAAGGAAAATTAATCAATTAATTCCTGTCATGTTACCGACTTTGCAACTTAGTCCTTAATTCTTACTATTTGACGTTTCGTGACTCAATCTTTAATGCCTTGTTTGATATGAAGAAAGAGTTTTTGACGAAACTGAAAGTAGAATTGAAATTGGAATTGGTACTGGAAGTGAAAGAGGAAGTGAGTTTTAAAACATGTTTGGTACAACCATGGATGTGGAATATAAATTTTAACTGAAATATGCGTTAGTAAAATGAAAATACCAAATTGACCTTGGAAAAAAATCTCCCTACCAAAAAAAAAGTCTCCTCCACCCCAGATGCAAAGCACAATGGAAGGAACCACCATCGAACCAGTGATTTCAGCTTGGATGGGAGATTCACAAGCTTCAGCTTTGCATATTGCAAGCTTTATTTTGAGATTCACAAGCTTCAGTCACAAATGAAGAACAGGAAAGTGGAATGGAGAAGACGGGATCAAAGGGGGATGAAATGTGGTGGTAAGTGAGGAGGCGTGGAGAAAGGAAGAAGATGAGATCTGGTGGTGAGTGAGGAGGCATGGAGAAAAAGAGGAGATGAGATCCTCGCTGCTCCTCCTCCGTCACCGTCGCTGTGCTCTCTACTCCAGATCCAACGCCAGCAAGAGCATCGTTGGGGCCTTTGAGAAATCTAAGAGCTTCGGCCAAGGAGACGTGGTCCATCATCGTGCTCACTAGAGTCGTCGCCGCCAGCCGTCGTTATGCTCGTCCGAGTTGTTGCCATCCGCCATCATGCTAGCTGTGGTCACTGTTGCTGGTGGGCGTCAAACAGAAGGAGGGGTAGGGATAGGGCAAAATGGTCAGAGACCAGTTCCATAAGAAGTGGAACTATTTATGTTTTAACAATGTTAGAATATACTGAGTGGGAATGTTCCCCACCAATCTTAGAGGACGACCATGATAAATCCCCCGCCCCATATCGCATTGAAGAAGTTGAAGGTAAAGGGCTATTATACAAGTTGCAGCATCTGGGGACTCTTTGCACTGTTCGTTCGCTTGCAATTCTTTTGAGCAAGAAGCAAGTGGTGGCCGACAAGGTACGGCTCCGTGGCGGAGTCACCGGAAGTGCATGTTTCTGACGAAGTTAGAACATCTTCCCGGTGTGAAAGTGCCGATGTTATAGCTGTTGGGACTAGATGCATAGGGTTCATTCAAAGTAACCCAATGTTTAACTCGATCAACAAGAGTTTTGAAGCAAAAATCAGCATGCTCATGAAAGCCCTAACTAGATCAGAACATTAATTAAAAAAAAAAAAAAGTGTTACTTTGTTTTAGGGCTTGGGGGAGATCCCAATGGAAGAGAGTCACAAAAGGTGTTAATCCTGTATATATGCAATAAGGGTTTGGCTTCCCTCCGCTGTATTTATCCTCCGCTACCTGTCCGCTGCTTGCATACGGCACTGTTTTTAGCAAAATGGAAAGAGAACTAGAATTGAAAAAAAAAAAAAAAGACCAAGAGGATTTGGCAAATGGACAAAGGCAAAATCATTCAAGCGAGAGGAGAAAATAACTGTTCATCCCTATTTGTGGGACCCGCTCACCTCCAAAAGATCAATTAAATACCTTTTTTTTCCCCATCAATTAGACAAATACATAAGAGAAAGAGAAAACTAATTAGCTTTTTAGGTTAAGGTATAAATACGTAAGGGTGTTATATTCTTGACCATGAGATGGAGAATCTGAAAGAGTCAGATCCTATCCTGTTCATCTGTTTGATGTCACACTGCAACAACATGCATGCCGCCACATATTTATGTTAACAAATCACGATTTAGTATTTATTTGTAGGGCCAGAGCAAATATCAATGATGGAAGCACTCTGATGGGCTAACATTCACATTGAGGGGTGAAAGCTACACACTTTACTGTTATGAAAAATCTCAACAATAAGTGAATAGTTAAAACATATTATTTTTATATTGGGATTTGTTATTAAAAGCTACTCAGTTATTATGAGATTTTTTAATAATTATCTTTCTTTTTTGAGATCTTATAGCAATTCTTCCTTTTAAATGTAAGGTTATCCTATCAACCTATTCCTATACCTAAAGAATTAATTAACTTATTTATCTATAACTAATACGCAGAGAGCTAGACTTCAATTTGGAACACTTTTTCAATAATAACCTTGCCGTTTAATGATTAAATTTAATACACATGAATGAAAATTTCCTAATAAATATGAGTATTATGAGAAAGAAAAAGAAATAATGTAGCAGATCAGAGAAAATGACACCTTATATTTAAAAACAAAACTAAAACACTCAAATGAACCTTATATTTCGAACCAGAGTGTGGGGATCAGACAAAAAATATTAGCAATAATGAAATAAAAGTGATGAAATTTAATTTGTACCTTGTATCGATGGTAAAAATCTTCTGCAACAGCACCATTACTGTGATCCAAAATCTTTATTATTTCTACATGTATACCAAAATTATTCACACATGTTAGCAGCATTTATGCATACATAGTTTGACATTTTTCTAAGTACTGTATAAGATATGAAGTGCAAAAGAGAAGAAAGATAGGGAACCTGAGTGCTCCTTAGTGAAGGTGTCCCATATGCTTGCTCCTCTTCCCTCAATATTTGCCACTCCTTCTGACTGAAATCATCACAATTTTTAAAGATCAAACAAGAAGTGAAGAAAATTAATGATGTGATGATAATAAACGAACAGTATTGAAACAGAGTTCTATTGAAAGGGACATAAAAATGACCTGGCTTACGATTCTCAGTGTCTCTCAGCACCAAGAGGAAGAAGATGATGACGACGTGGCACGACTTCAATTCAGGGTTTTCAATTCTCATGCTCGACATTAACTATTTTTCTCTTTTTTGCTCCTATATAATTCAATGGCGCGCTCCAAGAGGCACTTCTATTTAAACTGCCAAAACTTAGGGCATTTCGGAAATTACGTGGCAATGTTTATAATATAAAAATTATTATATATATAGGCACCAATTATGGTCATCCTAATCAGACCTGACCATATATAATCCTCGAATCTAACATAGTATTAGTAAAAAAATTTCTTATGATTAATTAGTGTCTATGTCCATTTCTTTTCATTGTTTTCTTCTTTGTGTTTTCGAAATCTTTCTTTTAATTTTTATCACATTGTTTTCATGCACCACATCATCATGTCTGAAGGAAACCGTGTCTGATTGAGAATATAATTGTACTTTTTTACAATTTTACATAGGGAAAATAGTTAAAAAAAAAAGAAAACCTTAGAAATTAAAAATTTGTATACAGGGACACGTTCACAAAAATTGTTGTCACTTACTTATCAAGTATTGTCAAACCAATACTGATATTGTAACAAGTCTCTGTTTGCATTTTTTTTTTATTTCTAAGTTTTTTGTTCTGCAATTTTCTCTTTTTACATATGTATTACATGTCTAAAGGTTCGATTAGGTAGGTATGTGAATGTTTTACTGTCAACATAAAATTAGAACGATATATATTCACATATTGTGAACGTTATTATATATGAACAATTAAGTTTTATGGCATAAACGTTTCTCATTTGTCGTACTTTTGACTCATTATTATATTGAATTAATTCAAAAGCCACACCGCATGTTCCGTGTCTTTGACTCTATATTGAACATCACATTATTTATGGTTATTTTTTTTGGACACACATATGATTTTAGTGGTGAAGATCGATTTGAACAATAACGTAATTTTATTTTCGAAATGTAATTTTTTTAATACTTTGAACAATGTAATTTTCATATTGGAAGCATGAAAAGAATGTAAATGTGGAACAGCTAAGATTTCTCAGGTAATTTATCCCCCCTAATATGTGGATTGATATTTACGATTTAGTAGGAATACTATAACATAATAAATAGGACTATCTTTTTTCTTTTTGCGTAAAATGGATATCATTTCATTTTGTTAGAAATTAGGCTATTTATCAATTTTCTTAGCATGCTCACATAGCTGTGTTGAGCATTGTTTGAATTAGCAAGGGATGGGCCTAGCGGAAATGGCTGTTCTTTTACAATGTAATATTATTTTTCGAATTCCTATTAAGAAAGATGCGGATAGTGCCTGATAGTGTTTTAAATAGGATTATTTCTAATAAAAAACACCTCTAGCAAAAAAAAATATTTTGCAAAGAAGAGAAACAAAAGATGATGATTTTTATTAAATATGACACCATCAGACCCTTATGTATAGAGTCTAACCAACTAATCAATTCCCCGCCATCTTAATCAACTGAGATATCACATATTATATCTCCAACCATTTCTAATTTGTTTTATTTGAAATTTATTAGAAGTAGATGATGATAGAGGAAAATTAACGGAGGAGGAACATCTTGAGCCAATAAGCAGAATATTTGAGATATCTCTTGAGATTGTTCTTGAAATCCACGTAAGTGATTCCAAATCGAACGGTGTAGCCAGCATCCCACTCGAAGTCATCAAAAAATGACCATGCATAATATCCCTTCACCTTCACTCCATCCCTGCCCATATCCATCCAAAAATTCACATGAGTATTATTGTATAATTTAATTTTTGTTTTACTTTAAAAAGTGTTATTTAAACTATAACAATACAATTTTTAGTCTTTTAAAAAAGTATATTAAAATTGAAATTTGTATAATTCCAGAAAAATAATGAAATTTTATTTAATCTACATATAATCAGTTAATTAATTATACCTTTTGCGGATAAAATTTATTTATCTATTTCTTATAGTAATTACTTGATTTCTTTGTTGTTGTAACATAGATATGAGAACTCACTTGATAGCCCGGAGAAGATATCTGAGATGAGCATCATAATATCTAATTCTGATTCCATCCTTGATGGCTTCTTTCACTGGTATAGATGCATTGTTTGCTTGAGCAACTCCTGAAAATTCCAACAATAATTATGTATGATATAAATAAAACCAACTTACATATAGGTGAAATTAAAGAAAGTTTTTAAGGTTATTAATTATAAATAAAAGAAAAATCACGCAGGACCAATAATATAGCTTACCATTTTCAGTGATGTAAATGAGTGGGTTATTGTATTTATGCTTTACATATAACAAAAGTTGATGGAGTCCCTTGGGATATATAAAAAGCCAACTCAATGCTGTCTGCAAAACCATCCAAAACCTTCTTCTTTGTTAAATCTGCTTAGAATGCCTACCAGTTAACTGCTACATGCATTTTTTTAATCAATCGCATCTATTTTTAAATAGAGCTATGGGAATATGGATCATGCGAGTTGGCTAATCGTGGGTTAGGGTGGGCAAAATCAGCCCGGTTGAAAAGATTCCAATCCAATAGTTGTATTAAAAAAAAAAAGAAATTAGCTGTTAAAGTACAAATAGCACTCCTATCTATATTATTTGACAAGGTGAAATCGAAGAAAGCATGAAGGAAGTTTAAGGGAAAATTTCAAAAAAAAAAATTTGAATTTCAAAATTTTAAATTAGTTTTGTTTACTACATTTTAATAGCAATTTACTATGCTTAAAAAGAAATTGACAACACATTTTTGTACTTATTAATTTTTGATTTGGGATTTTAAAATTTGAGAAGTAATTTTTGGGATTTTTTCGAAGTTTAATGACAGTTGACCTTTCAAATGCATTATCTCTTTAATTTTTTTAATAGACGAAAAGTTGACCACAACAGAAATATTAAATTCAAGTGGTAGCAGAATATTAGTATTTAAGCATAGTTACTGGAAGTGAGATTTGAAATCCGTCTCGTGGATTGGGATTTCAGGCTCACAGATCTCTATGTAAAATCACAGGCGAATAACTTATCTGTCATCTAAAGAAATAATGAAAGATGAGGAAGAATAATACCGGGGTACCAACTGGGACGCCATTTCTCACGGCTGAAATAAAATGAAAATAATGAAGTTTTATTTGTGTTATTATGTCGGTGAACATAAACCAACATAATGTCTGTGAGTTTTATGGGAAATTAATTAATGATTAGGTTAAATTACCAGAGAGAGTGGCTTGCATATCAGAAGAGAAACTGCGATTAACAGTACTGGTTAAGGGAGCATTTTCTGCATAATTGGTGGTGTAATAGTTCACCCCAAGAAAATCATATGATCCTTTCAGCATTTCTGATTCTGCTTTTGTGAATTTTGGAAGTCTATCTCCAACTATATATCTCATGCTCTTTGGATAATCTCCAAATGTAATTGGATCAGCATACCTATGCACACAGATCAATTATCGCTTAATAACAGAGATTAGAAATATAGACATACGATTTAAATCACTTCGCATATGTTTCATTAAACTAAGAATTCTATCTTAAAATTTAACAATTTTTACATTTTATTCCTATTTAATATATCTACTATATTTTATGAAAACAAAGTCTATACATTAATAAATAAATGGTAAAATAAAAAATTTAATACTGTGACTTATGAATAGGAATAAAAAAAATTTTCTTTCTCTATCTTATACTATATTAGGTCCTAATTATAAGATTTTATTTATAGATTATAAATAAAGCCTTATAATTAGAGTTGGAGATAATATATAAAACCAGATAAGTATATACCATCCGAACCAAAAGTCGAGAGCTCGACTTGCAGCTTGACGATTGGCTGGAGAGTTTGTTTTTGGCTCCATCCAGTGAGTCACTAATGTGATTCCAATTTCTCCTTTCTGGTACTTCTGTTTCCAATACAACACACACAAAATGACACAAATTCATTAAAAAATACACTCAATCATCACATATATATATAAATATATATATTTTATAATCAAGTGCCTGTATTCCTTTTTGTGATCATACAAAAATATTTTCATTACAACTACTCCTTCACAAAAAAAGAAGAAGATAATTTTGCGTACAAATTAAGTCACAATAAGAAATAGTGAAGGAGTCTATTTGCAGTGAAAAAGGAAACCTGATATTTGGCCTTGTATAAACTGACGGCAGCACCGTGGGCCAGAAGCAAGTGGTGGCCGACGAGATAGGGCTCGGTGGCAGAGTTGCCGGAGGTGCAGTTTCCGACATAGTTAGAACATCTTCCCGGCGCGAAACTGCCTGTGTTGTAGCCATTGTTGCTATACCCAAAGGGTTCGTTCAAAGTAACCCAGTGCTTAACTCGATCACCAAAAGTTTTGAAACAAAAGTCAGCATAATCACGAAAGTCCCCCCTACATCAGACACACACACACACACACACACCAATTAAATTAGGGAAAAATTACTTTATTTGGATAGTTATAGATAATTATAAGTTTAATTAATTAGTATGACTCACACTATTTTAGGACTAAGAAATCCACCGTATTCATCTTCTAAGGCTTGAGGAAGATCAAAGTGAAAGAGAGTCACAAAAGGTTTTAATCCTATATATGCAATAATATGTGAGTTAGCTCAGATTTGTTGTTATTATTATAATAATAATAATTAAAGAGACCTTAGAAAAAGAGAGATAGAGGCAGAGAAGTTGACCATTAGAAAGAAGCTCATTGATGAGGTTATTGTAGAACTTAACCCCCAAATAATTGACTGTTCCTTTCCCCTCTGCACATAACTTAAACAAGTTAATCTGTGCAAATCACTTTCAAGTTTTAACATTAACGTCGTAAGATGCAAATTATTGCATGACTATTGAAAACATAATTAAGCACATACTTGGGAATATTCTAGACCATGAGATCGAAAACCTGAAGGAGTCCAACCCGATCTTCTTCATTAATTTGATGTCACTCTGCAATTAACATGCCAATATTCACAATCGTCAACAACGTCATCAATTTTTAATTTATTTGTGACTGCATATATATATAAATAAAATTGAACATTTATATATGCACCTTGTATCGATGATAAAAATCATCTGCAACATCACCATTACTCTGATCCATAATCTTCTCTGTACATCAAAATATAATTTCTTTCGTTAGCATAATTTCTTGGGACACGTTAAGTATTATTCTTTCATATATCATCTTGTGTCCTAAATATAAGAATTAGTTGGTGGTCATAAATATAAGACTTTAATCCACTTTGCCTCTCAAATTTATAATGTGTACTCAAAAATATCCCTATTGATTGTAAGGTATTTTCACTCAAGTGTAGTTTCAATGTATATGAATAAATAAGCTAATTTAAGAAAAGTAACACATATTTGTTACAAATGACTAACCTAACTAATTTTTTTAATATTGCTAAATTAGTTATCTCGTTCTTATATTAAATACTGAAAGTAGACTTAGCTTCCTATGAATTTGTGGTAACTAATGAAAGAAAAATATGTCTGTGTGTGTGTATATGGAGACCTGGGTGTTGCCTAGTGAAGGTGTCCCATATGCTTAGTCCTCTTCCATCATTATTTGCTGCTCCTTCTGACTGAATCATCATAATGTAATTCAACAACAAAAAGTGAGGGAAAATATGACAAATTATGATAAAGTATTTCATACAAGTTTGTAGAGAAAAGACTTAAGAAATGAAGAAGAGAATTAATGGAGGCATTTTGATGATAATGAAAAAGAGAAACCTGGTAAGCAGCGGAACCAGCACCGAAAATGAAGGAAGGAGGGAAAAGGGTTCTATTGAAAGGCACAGAATAATGACCTGGCTTAGCACTCTCTGTGCCTCTCGGCAGCAACACGAAGAAGAAAAAGAAGAAGACGAAGCTCAACACTACATTATTTCTCCTGTTTGCCATTAATTTCATTATCTCTTCTTTGCCATTCAAATGCTTCAACACTCACTTCTATTTAAAGTTCCGAAGGATAGCGTATTTCAGTAGTTTCTTCACCAATAACGATACCGCACAGTCTTATCACCAATAATGCAATATTGTTGTCATTATCTTTTACAAAATCCCTCTTTTTTACATATAATTTATATCTTATTATCTTATCTCTACATATTGACAATCTAAATTATGTCTATATATTTGATGTTATGAGTCTCACATCACGGAGCTTCACAAATAAAGTGTTGTTTATATATTCAAAATTTTTTTGCCACATAACGTATTAGTCTTTTGAAATGGGCTCCTTCTCATAACATATAATATTATCAAACAATATCATCTTCTCCTTTTTTTTCTTTCTTTTTTTTTAATGTTTTTGTTTTGGCTATTGGATCTACGTCAGATACACTATTAACTTGCCCCATAATTTAGTGATTTTGCTTTTTATAGGTAAATGATTATCAATTTTCTTCTGATCAGTTACTTCTTTGATTTGGCTTCTCCGAATGATCATGTTGTCGGCAAACAAGTCAGATCCGAAGAAATCTGTCCCGATAGTGTATAAAATAATATTGTGAGTGGCAATAATTAATTGATCACGTTAGGTGCGTGAGAGAAAACTCCTCTGGTCACTACTGCAATCTGTATATAAATACATTATATTGGGAAAATCATTACGAGATCCCAAAAAATAACCACTCACCTAAAAATTTTACAATAAATGAGTAATATGTAATGACAAGTTTTAGCATAAAAAATAAGAACAGGTTTATACCTCTCATTTATTGTAGAACTTTTTAGCGATTATATTTAATCAAATCTGATTAAGGTTATGTTTCAAGGTTAGATTAAGCATGCAAAAATTTTAATTTTAAAAACATGTTTGGAAAATATTTGAGTATAGAAAAGATAAGAATTTAAAATATATATTTATTTTGAATATTATAAAATAATGCCAGAAAACTATTAAAAATATGTTCCATGCCAATTGAAACAATACTTCATATATTTCGTGCCTAAGTTTTCTTTCATAAATTTTTAAATGATTAAAAAAATTAGTGCCCGTTCAGAAGTCAACTTGAATGTTAGGTGTCTGCTAATTAAATGTCACGCTGTTTACGAGTTTAGTAATCGCGATCGACTTGAACAACGTAATTTTATATTGAAGCGTGATTATTGTGTCCAGGTTTTTTTTTTTTTGAATACTTGTGTCCAGATTTAATAGAATATGTGGATGTTAAATTGGTTAGTATAATATTTGGTTTTTGAATTTAGCCTTATTTTGATTTTGGTTCCTCAAATTTCAAACTATAGGCTTCGATTCTTTAAGAAGCAAAATGATCCAAATTTTCATTAAATTATAGAGACTAATGTTTTAAATGAAAAAAAAATTGAAAGACCAAAACTTATTATTTTAAATTTGAGGAACCAAAATCAAAATGAAAGTAAATTTAAAGGACTAAAATTTGCATTAACCCCTTTTGAATTTTAGATAATATTACCTTCGGTCCTTAATATAAAAGTTAGTTGACCAATTTGAATAGATTAAAAAAGTTTGTTAAGTTAATTATTTGTAATAAATAAGTGTTATTTTTCCTAGAATACTCTTATTAATCAAGTGTATTAACTAGAACTACCATTACTACAAGGACTATTTTGAAAAAAAAAGTAGATAAATATGAAAAGCAAAGTATATTAAGATCTTATATTTAGAATTAAAATAAAATCTAAATAAAATCTTATATTAAAAACCAAAGATAGAAGGTTTTTTGAAAAATTAGAAGATATTTATAATCAATGCAGTCCATGGAAAATAGTCATAAATAAGGATCAGGGAGAAGGGGAGTGAACGGGGAAGTGCCGGAATCTTGCAAAACTCAGAAAATGGTGGGCCCTGTGGGATGAAAGTTGTCATTTTTCTACTAGTGAGAGCATATACGAATACGAGGCGACACCCGTGGAGCAGGTGAGGGCACATGTCGTTGGAAAATGAAGTTTGTGTGCGTTTTCTTCCCTTGATTGGATTGATGGGCCAAGTCATTCATGTTTTTGGTGCTTTATTTTTTGGCGGGCCCAATTGCTTAAAATTCTATGAATAATATCCATAAAACAAAGTAATAAACTACTAGTAATTAGTAAAACAAAGCATTGGAATCATCACTACAAGAAATTCATACATGCCTGTGCTTAAACCAAAAAAAAAAAAAAAAACGCACACCCATAAGAAGGGAAACAGAAGATACTCCTTCCGTTCCTTATTATAAGAGACATTTGATGCTTATAGCATGTTCCTAAATATAAGAGACACTTAAAAGTTGTCTCTATTTTTTTGTGTTAATTTCCTATTTTACCCATATTTATTGTCTCCAACTCACACTCTCTCTCCTTCCCACTTCTCTTTCTTTTAAGAATTTACTATTGTTCTCTCTCATGCTCTCTCTCCTTATTAATGAGGGTATTTTTGAGAAAAAAAATATACTTTTTACACATTCATTGTTCTTAACTAATTTTAACTGTTTTTTGATCAACGTAATTCGGTTATTCGTCTCTTATAATAAGGAACGGAGGGAGTAATAGATAATAATCTTTTATTAATCACAATAAGACCCTTGTATTTAGAGTCTAACTAACTAATTAACTTCTTGTGATCTGATCTTAAGAACTAAAGTCACATTTTATCTCCCAGTCCAACCATTAATTTATTATGTAGGAGATATGGTGGAGAATCTGAAGAGCAGAGTTATTATTGTGGTGAAGGAACTCAACGGAGGAGGAACATCTTGAGCCAATAAGCAGAGTACTTCATATATCTTTTGAGATTGTTCTTGAAATCTACGTAAATGATTCCGAATCGAACGGTGTAGCCAGCATCCCACTCGAAGTCATCAAAGAACGACCATGCATAGTATCCCTTCACCTTCACTCCGTCCCTGCACATGCATAGCCATTCAAAATTTAGATGAGTTTTGCATTAATTTAATTTTTATTTTACGAAACAAATGTCTTATTTTAACTATTACAAATTAAAATTAAAATTTGTACTTATTGTTTTCAAAAAATGTAAATTAAAATAGAAATGGGTATACTTTCAGGAAAAAAAAACTAATCAAAATTTACTCAATCTATATGTGATGTTTTGCGGAAGGACATATATCAATTAATTAATGGAAAATTTTCAATTAAATCCAGTCCAAACACCAAAATCTAAATTCCTAATAATGCTAAAAGGACTAAATAGAAATTTCAAAATCAAGTTAAATGACCACATTTAAGTGGGAATTTATTAAAAATGCAGAGGTATAAATCTGAATTATGGTATTTTAGCTTAATTTAATTTAAGTGGGATTTTGCCTTACTTAATTATACCTTTTTGGGATACAATTGATTTAAATATTTCTTGTAATAATTATTTGTTGTAATAATATATGTGAGAACCCACTTGATAGCTTGAAGAAGATATCTGAGATGGGCATCATAATATCTAATTCTGATTCCATCCTTGATGGCTTCTTTCACCGGTATAGATGCATTGTTTACTTGAGCAACTCCTGAAATTTTCAACGTAACAAGAGTTATATATTAATAATTTTAAGGCTATCTTATATATATATATATATATATATATATATATATAATAAAATGAACTTACAGATAGGCGAAAGAAATTTTTTAAGGTTATTGTAAATAAAGGACAATAATTCAGGTGGGATCAATAATTTTGCTTACCATTTTCATTGATGTAAATGGGTGGGTCACTGTATTTGTGCTTTACGTACAACAAAAGCTGATGGAGTCCCTTGGGATATATATAAAGCCAACTCAATGCCGTCTGCAAAGCCATCCAAAACTTTCTTCTTTATTAAAGTTGCTAAGGTTAATCGCTCATACCACTACGTATGCATTTTTCGATTAAGAAAAGTATCTTTTTATTAAAAACAATCCAATTGAAGTACTATCAGGTATTAAATATTGGTACATCTCTCAATAGAAAGCTGAATCATTAGATTGTGAGGAATTAGTTTCTTTTATTAAACCCAAACCCTATTAGGAACACTTCTTAATTTTAGAAAGCTGGGAATGTGTGGACCAACCTACATATTACGGGTTGATCCATTAGGGTTTGAGGGTTGTGTAGGGTTGCATTTTAACCAACCCAACCTACAATTCTAGACGGGTAAAATGGGTTGGATTAGTATAAGTTTAACTCATCTCTAGCACTACTTTTAAACACTTTGATTAGCTTTATATGTATACATATAAAAAGTGTTCGAAATGAAGATCAAGGTACTATTTATACAATTTCACAACGCGCAACTGAATAAAGAGTATGAAGGAAGTTTATTTGGAAAAAAGAACAAAAAGAAAGAAAGACGGAAGTTTATAATAATGACAATTAAAAAAGTTTAACCTTTCAAATAATTAACTTATATGTCTGTCATCTAAATCTAAAGGAATGAGAAAAGAGGAAGAAGAATATAATATACCGGAGTACCAACAGGGAAGCCATTTCTCGAAGCTGAAATCAAAAGAAAAATGACGTTTATTAAAGTGATGTTTGATAGTGAATATAAAATAACATAATAATTGTCTTTGAGTGATGGGAAATTAATTAATGATGATTAGGTTAATTAAATTACTAGAGAAACTGGCTTGCGCATCAGAAGAGTAGCTGCGATTAACATTGCTGGATAAGGGAGCATTTTCTACATATTGGGTGGTATAATAATTTATCCCAATAAAATCATAAGATCCTTTCAGCATTTCTGATTCTGCTTTTGTGAATTTTGGAAGTCTATTTCCCACTATAGATCTCATGCTCTTTGGATAATCTCCATATGTAATGGGATCAGCATACCTGCACACACATCAATTATTGCTTGAAACACAGAAATTATTAACCATGTGTTTGGATAGAAAAAGAAAAAGCAGGATGGAAAGAAGCGGAGGGAAAAATTAAACCAGGCATAAGACCAACATGGTTAATTTCTTCCCTAAAGCTTTCTCTTTTAAAAGTGAAGAGATTTTGTGGAGAAAATCAGTTTTCTAAAACTGTCTCGAAGGTTTCTCTGAGTATTATTTTGGTTGTGAAATTACATATTAATTTCCTATTCTTCTTCATTTCCCCACTTTTTTCCCTTTCGTCCATTTTCTTCACTTCCCATTCCTCACTTCGTCCAAACAGAGAAAATCGAAGGGGGAAAAAATAAATGAGATGAATTGATTTTTTTTTATACTAAGATAAATTGATATTAGTTACACTCTACTTCTGTAATCATATTTACAAGTTACTTCCATCAAGTTTTACATATATAGAGAAAATTTTTAAACTTCGTTAAATTTTTCCTAAAATTAAACAAATTTTCAATTTTATCCCTATTTAGGGAGTGTTTGTGTTTGGATCCACTGAAAAGCATTTTTGAAAAATATTCTCACACAAATCTAAATAAAACTCAAATAAACTCAAATCAAATATTTACTTTATATATCGTAAAATCTTTTTTAAAATTATGATTTGGTTTTTATCCAAACACCACATTAATATACATTATATCCTCTGAGAATAAATTCAACATAGTAATAAAAAATGGTAAAATTATATACCACTCTGTTTCTATTTATAAGTCACTTGTAGGGAAAAAAATTTGTCTAAACATAAGTCATTTAGAGGGTAATTAATAAGTTTTTCTAATTTTATCACTGTTAACTTAATAAATGCATAGATAGACAAAGTGAACAGGTAAGAGAAAATATAAAATATATTTTTAATGCACTTTCTTCAACAAAAAAAAAGCAAATGTAAAAAAATTATCAATTTAATGTATTTCGTGGTTTGCGAACTTAGAGTACAAGTAATTTATAAATATTCATATGAAAAATTTATTTCACTTTCTTCTATAAATATGATCAAAAAAATCATTCTCTTTCTGCGCTGTAAATAAGAATAGGGAGTATATGCATACCATCCCAACCAAAAATCCAGAACTCGACTTGCAGCTTGACGATTGGCAGGAGAGTTTGTTTTTGGCTCCATCCAGTGTGTCACTAATGTGATTCCAATTTCCCCCTTCTGGTATCTCTGTTCCCAATACAGAATACACACAAAAAGACACAACAAGATACGTCAATTCATTGAAAAAGAACACGCAGAGACGCCAAGTTCCATTGCTGCTGTAATTTATTTGTTTTTAATGAAACCTGATATTTGGTTTTGTATAATCTGACAACAGCGGCGTGAGCAAGAAGAAAATGGTGGGTGACGAGATAGGGCTCGGTGGCGGAGTTGCCGGAGGTGCAGTTTCCGACATAGTTAGAACATCTTCCCGGCGGGAAGCTGCCAGTGTCGTAGCCATTTTTGCTGTACCCATAGGGTTCATTCAAAGTAGCCCAATGCTTAACACGATCACCAAAAGTTTTGAAGCAGAAATCAGCATATTCATAGAAGTCCCCCCTAGATCATCATATATTTAAATATCAATTACATTAGGGGAAAAAATAATGACATAAAAAATTGACTTCATTAGGATATATATTTTATTGATCGGTAATAATTTTAATCGATCATTAATATGACTTACACTATTTTAGGACTGAGAAATCCACCATACTCATCTTCTAAGGCTTGGGGAAGATCAAAATGAAAGAGAGTCACAAAAGGTTTTATTCCTGTGGATGCAATAACATGCTGTGGGTTTAGACTTGTTTGGTTTACAAAAAAAATTTGATAGTAAAGTTAGCTCAGATAAAAACTCAGACATATATATATATATATATATATATATAATTATTTTTCAATATATATATATATATAATTGAAGAAGCCCGAGAGAGAGAGAGAGAGAGGTTAACCATTTGAAAGGAGCTCATTGATGAGATTATTGTAGAAGCTAACTCCCAAATAATTGACTGTGCCTTTCCCCTCTGCGCATATATATATATAAAACAAGTTTTCATTAATTTGTGCAATTATCACTTCCAAGTTTATTATAATGTCGAAAGATGCAAATAATTGTATAACCATTAAACATATACTAGTATAAGTACTTACTGGGGAATATTCTGGACCATGAGATGGAGAATCTAAAAGAGTCCAACCCTATCTCCTTCATTAATTGTATGTCACTCTGTACAATTAATGTGCCATTATCACAATCACCAACATCATTTCCAATGGCAAGCGAGGTCCCATGCAAAGAAAATTATTAAGAAGTCTCCAGTATTTATTATTTTTAATATCAGAACTTGTTATTACATGCTATTGTATATGTTGTCATTGGGAATTTTTGGTAATTATGTTCAATTCTTGAAGCTTCACATCAATTCTACATTATTTAAACTATATATATATATATATATATATATATATAACAATGAGCACATACGTACCCTGTATCGATGATAAAAGTCCTCTGCAACATCACCATTACTCCGATCCGTAATCTTTTCTGTATATCAAAATGAACTCTCCGGTTAGCATTATTTCTTGGCTTACATTTACATACTATTCTTTCATACATACATACATACATATTCACAAGTTATGAACAGTTAAGTTCTTGTGAATGTGTGTGTCTATATATACACACACACACCTGGGTGTTGCTTAGTGAAAGTGTCCCATATGCTTAGTCCTCGTCCATCGATATTTACTGCTCCTTCTGACTGAATCATCATGATGTAACTCAACAACAAAAAGTGGGGAAAAGTATAGTAATAAATAATTATAGTATTTCATACAACTTTGTAGAGAAAAGGCTTAAGAGATGAGGAAGAGAATTAATCAATGGAGGCATTTTGATGATAATGAAAAAGAGAAACCTGGTACGCAGCAGAACCAGCACCGAAGATGAAGGAAGGAGGGAAAAGGGTTCTATTGAAAGGCACAGAATAATGACTTGGCTTAGCACTCTCTGTGCCTCTCAGCAGCAACACGAAGAAGGAAAGGAAGACGAAGACGAAGCTCAACGCTACATTATTTCTTACGCTTGCCATTTTCATTATCTCCTCTTTGCCATTCAAATGCTTCAACGCTCACTTCTATTTAAAGTGCCGAAGGATAATGTAATTTTCTAATTTACTGTTGCATTAATATAATTTTTTATCCTTTAAATTTAAGTTTATTTTGACTTTGGTTTTTTGAATTTCAAACCCTTAGTTTTGGTTTCTGAATTTAGTTTATCTTAAAAATTTAGTCCTTGAAAGCGTAATGGTATTAAAATCTACTCCTCCAATTATAAATATAAGACTCTTTTTGTAGTATAATTTATACAACAAAAAAGATTTTATATTTAAAACTGACAGAGTACTATATATGAACTTACCAAATGATACCTATTTAAATGTTGTATGGATAACAAATTATTTAAAAAAAGACTATACCCTCAAAATGTGGCTGCGTAGCACTCTTTTTCTCATTGTTCATTTGAACAATTATTCGCTACACTATATTTTGAGAACTTATCTCTTTCTGTACAATCACTCTTTGTATTGTGTTTTGAAGACTCTTATTTATATATATATATATATATATATAGGTTATTCATGTAAGGTTCAATTAAGTGTCATTTGATAATTTTACGTTATTTTTAACATCATTTATAATGCTTCAGTAAATTTTAATATTTATTATTTTTTTAGTAACTAATATTTTAAAATCCAAAAAGAAAGAAGCACAATTTCCTAGGTCTGATCACCCTTATTGCAATAGTTATCTTTTTGCAGAAGAGAAAATTTCATGAAAAAATTACAAATAAAGACTTCCTAATATGTAAAATTATAATTTGGGATTCTAAATATGGAAAATAGTAGATAAGGACTAGGTTCCACTTTTGCAAATATAAAATCATGATGAAATGTCTAAAATGCCTCTTAGTCAAATTGTGATTTGATCTACTGAAATTATCATTTGTTAAAGTAAACTTGTTATTTTTCATAATCAACTCGTCATTTGACATATCCTCAGCTAAGTTATGATTTGGTCTATTAAAGTTGTCATTCACTAAAATTAATTTGTCATTTTCCAAATTCAGCTTGTCATTTAGTTGATGGGCATTTCAAACATTTCACTATGATTTCATATTTACAAAAGTAGAATCAGGTCTTTATTTGCTATTTTTTAAATTTAGGATCTTAAATCATAATTTTACATATTAGGGGGTCTTATTTACAATTTTTTCAAATTTCATTTGGCGGAGAAAGATTCTCTCTTCTGCCGTCCTTTTCCATCACCATCATCACATCTAAGGCGCGTAATTTAATATTTTATGAAAATAAATAATATTATAATTTTATTTAAAATATATATAAATTAAATAATTTTAAATTATTAAAATTGTACAACTGTAAATTATTATTATATATTTTCAGTTTTTTCCACGTCAGATCTATAGAAATGTTTTCTAATAGGACAAACTTAGGGAGAATTACAATTGGTCTCAAAAAAATTTTAATTATTCTAAAATCTATTGACAAATAGAACAATAGAAAGTGAGTATTGACAAGTTTTAGACTAGAAAAATGATAATATATTCAGAATAGTCATATGTTATAAAATTTTTTGATAATTAAATTTTTTTAAAAGATTTATTATTGCTTCTCCCCATAACTTATCATGTGTGGCCATAATTAATTGATCAAACTTGCGAGAGAATTCTCCATCGGTCAACTACCATGTGCATATAAATATACATATACCAAAAATACTTAAATCAAATTTTTTATATTTGCTATTATAAGTTCTTCACATGTGTCTTTTTTTTTTTAATATAAACTTATAATTCAATGATAATACTTTAAAAATAAAATACATAATTATATGTCACATAAAAACTTGACATAATAAATAATAAATATAAGTTACTGAACACAAAGTATTGTCTTAATAGATACTAAAAGTGATAAGATGCTTAAATACTCTGGAAGTATCAATGAAGGAGTGCCTAGTACTTGGAATTGTTTTTAGTTTTTATATTTTTATCACAAAAATATATTGGGCGTTATCCATCATTAAATTTGACTATTAAAATATACAGCTTGAATTTATCAAAAAAAAAAATAGTTTGATCGGTATCTTTAATGTTCAAACTTAACAGTAGATAATTAGGAAAGACATGTTACAAAAATAAACTTTCAGAACATATAAAAACAAAAAAAAAAACTTTTAGGTACTAAGTGCTCCTTTGTTGATATTTCTGAGGTATTTAAGCACCTTATCCTTATACTAAAATATAATCTAATCTGATTAAGATTATAGTTTCATTTTTCATACACACGTGCAGAATGTTTAATTTTAATTTTTTTTAAAAAATTATTTAGAAAATATTTGAGTGTAGAAAGATAAGAATTGAATATACACACATACATTTTTGGTGATCGCGATCCATTTGAACAGTGTAATTTTATATTGAAGCATGAAGATTGTGTCCAGATATTACTGCAATACGTGGATTTTAAATTTCATTTAATAATTTTTTTAGAAAATGGAGGATATATATAATTAATGCAGTCTATAGGAAATAATAAATATGGGGTAGCTAGGTTGCGAATTTCTTTTTCCGAAGAGGAAAATTAGAAGTGTATTATAGTTTAAGGTAGTTTGTCCAAATAAACAAATGAAAAAATGACAGCTTTTGTGACTTCAAAAAAAAAAAACTCCATCCTGTTCTTATTATAAGATTTTTTTTTATAGTCTACAAATAAAATCTTATAATTAAGACCTAAGGTAGTAATTGACAATAAAAAAATATTAATGAAGGAATTAGTGTTCAAAATAACTAAATTTCATGAACATGAAAGTGAAGTTAAAAATATTGCATTATAAGTGGCAATATCAAGGGGAGGCGAATTATATTTATCAAATTTTCAAAATTATTAAACTTTTTCATTGCGAAAGAAGATGATCCCTTATAACATGGTAAATTAAAGCTTAAAAATCTGGTAGACGATTGTTTGCATTTACTATCAGCTGTATCTTGATTATAGGATTATTCTCAGTAGAAAGATAGTTATGAGTTAAAAAAATGCAAGGGAAAGTGTTATCTACCCCAATCATTGAAGCATGCTTTTATATGTTATTATAATTTTGTGATAATCAATAGAGATTAAGTCTAGCAGAATAAAATATTCTCTCACATCATGATAAACCAATATTTAAATTCCTGTTAAGAGACGTATTAACATTTAGTATTTGATAATATCTCAAACATGATTGTCTCTAATAAAAAAAATATTTATGCCTAGTAAAAGAATTTTGTGGTAGATGTTCAATACTTCAACTTCTACTATCCCCAGTCCTAAACGTAGCGTCTAGTTTATTTAGGACAGGAGGTAGTATATATTTATATATTAACAAAAACTTGTCAAGCATTCGAAAGTAAAAATGATATTAATTTTACATTGAAATATTTTCCAGGTTTCATGTAATATTGCATCTAGGTTTTTGCATATTCCAAAGTCCAAATTCGGGATTTGGAGTCTTACGCATATAGATATACTTTATGGATCATTAATAAGTAGCTCGCTCTCTCTCGTACACGTCTATAACACTTGTTAAAATCAAGATATTAAAGATATTAAAGTCAAGACTTCATTTATTTATTTAAAATTCATAAAAAGTACATGATTATTTATTTCAGAACATGGCAATAAGCAACCATACATGATGCTGATGTGATTCCAAAGGAAATTAAAGCCTCGGATATTAAATATACTGCAAATTAATTGCTCTCCAAAGGCTTGCGCAACTAAGGAGTCGATGATGATTATGACTAATGGAGGAGGAACATCTTGAGCCAGTAAGCAGAGTACTTCATGTATCTTTTGAGATTGTCCTTGAAATCCACATAGGTGATTCCAAATCGAACGGTGTAGCCGGCATCCCACTCGAAGTCGTCAAAAAATGACCATGCATAATATCCCTTCACGTTCACCCCGTCCCTGTATATATAATACCCAAATTCAATTTACTTAATATTGCGTTCGGTGTTTAATATAAGGTCTAGTTTATAATTTTGATTTATGTATATGCATGGATCACTTACTTGATAGCTTGAAGGAGATTTCTGAGATGGTTATCATGATATCTGATCCTCACACTGTCCTTGATTGCTTCTTGAACCGGTTTTGACGCATTATTTAATTCAGGCACTCCTATAAATAATTACCACAAATTACTTAAAAATTAAGGATATCATGAACTATATATGTGATCATGAAAGTGTTTGATGATGATGATGATGATATATACCATTTTCAGTGATGTCAATAGGCGGGTTCTGGTATTTTTCCTTGACATACATCATAAGTTGGTAGATTCCCTTGGGAGCAATATAGAGCCAGTTCAAAGCAGTCTGCACAATTGTAATAATCAGGCTTATGGCACAAATGGTCTGATTGGAAGTTAATTAAGGATGTGTTTATGTATTTAATAACACTAAGAAGAAGAACATACCGGGGTACCAACATAGAGACCATTTCTCTTGGCTGAGATCGCAAGGAAATAAAGGTGAGGTGGTTTCATATGTCAATATATACATTAAATTGAGAAAGGAAGATATATAGAAATGTAATTTTTTAAGGAAAAATTAATCTGCCAGTACCTATATTTTTACCGGATTTTTAATCGCATTTCTATACCTTCTTTTTTTTTTTTTTCCAATTTCATCACGTTTTTATAAATTGCCTTGTTTTAATTTTGTCCCTGTAGATAATTTTGTTTCTTTAATTTTTATCATGGCCTCCTTATAGTTTCATATGATTTTTAATCAGATCTTAATAGTTTCTCCCCCCCACCCCCGATCAGCCACCTGAAACTATAAGAATCTGATTAAAAACTATGTGAAATCATAAGGAATAGATTGAAAAGAAGCTACAAATGATTAAAATCAATTGTACAACTATAAGAACATGATAAAAGAACAAAACTTTACAAACCTGATTAAAAATCAAATAAAATTATAATGACATGCACAATTATCTTCCTTTTTTTAAGGAAAAAAACATATATGATACTCCTCCGGTCCTTATTATAAGATCCAATTTGACTTTTTATTTGATCCTAATTATAAGACCCAATCCATTTTGTCTTTTATATTTATGCATTTTTTTCCAAGATAATCCTTTTAATCATGATAGTTTTAACCAATATACTTAATTAGCAAGGATATTTTAGGAATGACAACACTTATTTATTATAAATAACCAACTTAACTTACTTCCTTAATCTCCTCAAATAAGTCAATTGGGTCTTATAATTAGGACCGGAGGAGTATATTCTTGAGTTCCGGGGATATGTTAATTTGTTCGATTACTTACTGGAGAAAGTGACACGCATATCAGAAGTATAACTCCGATTAACAGTGGAAGCAGAGAGGGAGTTTTCAGCATAATAGGTGGTATAATAATTGACACCAAGAAAATCATATGATCCTTTCAGCATTTCTGATTCTGGTTTTGTGAATTTTGGAAGTCTGTCTCCCACATATGACCTCATGATCTTTGGATAATCTCCATATGTAATTGGATCAGCATACCTGCATAATATCCACTTATTTTCCAGATTTTTTTTTCTTTCCCCTAATTGACTGTTTAATTTGACTATATGATACTAGCTAGAATATATTTCACTGGGGAAAGAATTATTTTTTAAAGTTAAATTTATTTTTGAACAATTCAAATTTAATGGAGACATGTTGAGAGGCAAATTCTTGGCCTTATGTCTTTATCACTTACCATCCAAAGAAAAAATCGAGAGCTCGATTTGCGGCAGCATGATCGACCATAGTCTCAGACTTTGGCTCAAACCAAATTGTCACTAAAGTGATCCCTATTTTTCCCTTCTGAGTAGCCTATAATAATTACAATAAATAATTGAGTATATTATTCACTTGGGAAAAAAAATTTTAAAGTCAAATTGCATATTTCGTTTGATAAAAAATTGATGAAGTAGGATTAACATGCTTCGGGGGAACATAATAATTGGAAATTAAATAAAGAGAACCTGAAATTTGGTTTTGTAGAGCTTAACAGCAGCCGCATGAGAAAGGAGGAGGTGGTGAGCCATTTATAATATATTAATTCTTATTAATATATTTATTAATAACATTTATGTTAAGTAAGTTAATGTTACAAAATACTCCCTCCGTTCCTTATTATAAGAGACATTTGATGCTTATTGCATGTTCCTATATATAAGAGACACTTAAAAGTTGTCTCTACTTTTTTGTGTTGATTTCCTATTTTACCCATATTTATTGTCTCCAACTCACACTCTTTCTCCCTCCTACTTCTCTTTCTTTTAATAATTTAATTGTTCTCTCTCATGCTCTCTCTCCTTATTAATGAGGGCATTTTTGGGAAAAAAATTATATTTTTTACACATTGATTGTTCTTAACTAATTTTAATTGCTTTTTTTATCAACATAATTCGGTTATTTGTCTCTTATAATAAGGAACGGAGGGAGTAATAAATACATAGTTATATATTAAAATATTTATTCATATCTGATATACATTTAAATAAAATTCGGCGGTATTGTAGAATTTTAGGGGTTTCTTAATATATTTTCACATCTATTAAACTTTTTTACCTTAAACACATAAATAATATATATATATGCATCTGTATATGCAAATAAATTGGAAAAATGGACCCGATGGATATATGCATATTGTATAGAAAATCAAATATGACAAGATTTGACCGAATAAACCTAATTAATACCAGTAAATTGATGTAAATTTTGTCTTTTAAAAAAAAAATACCACTTTCATTTTGAATATAAGAAATAGATAAGATATTCATTTTAACCCTAAGTATAAGACTTAGTTTATTTTGCCTCTGAAATTTGTAGTTTTCTTCCTTAAATATCCTTATTAATTATATACAGTGAGAAAATTTTTATGAACAGGTGAGACGGTTATAATGTATATGATTGTAAAAAATATTTTTAAAAAATTAACACATATTTGTTATAAATAATTAACACAACTAAATTTTTTAATATTCATAAATTAGTTATCTAATTTTTATATTAAAGATCAGAAGTAAAAGTATGAGTGTGTGACAAGTTAAGTAAAAATTGACAAGTTAGAAAATTTATCTAAATGTCACTTAAAATTTAAAAGAAATTGCAAAATTGCAATAACAATCAAAGTTTAATAAGTAATAAAATAGTTTTTTCACTCAAAAAATTAATATATATAACTATTTATTTGTTATTTTACAACATTAATTTAGTATAAATGTTATAAATAAATATTTTTAACGTATTGCTGGGGAGGGCACGTTGGTGGAATGGGGTTACTAATGAAGATTTTTGGGGTCGTTTTCAAATTTGAATGGCTGACGGATTTGATGGGTTGATGAAAGAGAGAAAAAGGGCATTGTTGGAAGTGAAAATGAGAGTTAGAGAGAGGCATTAAATTCACGGCGAGAGAAATTATTAAATGTAAATTTTTGTGGTACCCATGACTATTGATTTCTCTAACCAATAATGTCATGTGGGACTGAATTTATCTGAATTGGTTTCATCTAATTGGAGAGATCACAAATGACGTGGTGCTCCAATGCATGTAAGAATTTGTCTGATGGATAACGGTGTGTTATTACTTACACAACTTTAGGACTACAAAATCCACCATACTCATCTTCAAGAGCTTGAGGAAGATCCCAATGAAAGAGGGTGATAAGTGGTGTTAAACCTATACACATGTCCACAATTATTCAGTCAATAGATATGAAAAGGGCTTGATTATTAATTTGCATTATTTATTTCAAAAGTTCATCTTAATACAGAAATTAATTAATATAATGATGATTTGGAGGTGATTAATCGATTAAGTAAAAATAGGGAGGGACTGACCATTAGCTAGGAGCTCATTTATAACGTTGTTGTAGAACTTGACTCCCAATTCATTCACTTTTCCCTTGCCCTCTGCAAAAAATCAAGTAATAATTATTTTTAAATCACTTCATGCCATAGTCGTTTAATGAGAAAATTCTTACCAGGAAAAATTCTAGACCATGAGATGGAGAATCTAAAAGAGTCCAGCCCAATTTTTTTCATCAGCTGTATTTCACTCTGCAATATTTTGGGGGGGGGGGGGAAAGGCATTTATTCACAAATACAACCACACAATACAAAAGCAAAAGACTTGTGATTTTAATGTAGTGACATAAAAAACTTTCCGATAAATGGAAGGTTGTGATTCGATCTCACATCTAATCCTAAACTGTTATTACTTAATTACCCCTTTAATTTATTTATAGATATACACACTTGTGTGTGTTTGTGTGTGTGTGTGTGCAAGGGTTGGTGAATATTGACAAGATAGATGAAGTTGATGATGAGCAGCACCTTGTAGCGATGATAGAAATCATCGGCCACTGCACCAGTGCTATGATCTGATATCTTTCCTGCTCATTAATTACACATATTAATTAAAAATCAAATTTTTAAAAAATATTTTATACTAAAAACATTAGAAAAAGGGGAGAAAAGAGAAAATGAAACATGCATGGTTAGAAGAAACCTGGGTGCTGCTTAGTGAAGGTGTCCCAGATGCTTGGTCCTCTTCCATCAATATTTGCTGCTCCTTCTGACTGTTCTTATCAACAAACCAGGGAAAAAAATATATCTATAAACTTTCACTCACACATCAATAATTAAAAATGAATATATATACACATTTATAAGTTGTTCTTAGTGCTTTGATAGGTTTAACAGTTATTCCCAATTGGATCCCACAATACTTAAAAAATATAAAATATACAGACGCACGCGGACCTGATAAGCAGCAGAGCCAGCACCAAAGACAAAGTCAGAAGGAAAGACGGTTCTATTGAAGGGAACGGAGAAATGGCGGGGCTTTGCATCGCCACCGGCAACCGCCGTAAGAGTGGTGGCGGTGGCCACCAGAAACACACACAGCCGGAAACCACGACCACCTTCAACTCTCATGGCTGCTCCTGGTTTAGTGGTTTATCAGTTGTGGTGAACTACTTGATCAAGCTCATCTATTTATAGTGGTCCTTTGATTAACAACTGAACTAGTTTCAAATACTCATTAGATGAACACTCCAAGATCAACATATCTGGATCATTTATATTTAATTTGGATGGTTTAAATTTAAAATTTTTTTATTTTAGTTTCGAGCATCCTAAACTCATCATATTTGGACTATTTAGATCTAATTTTGATGATCTAAATTTATTTTCTTTTTTATTTTAATTTTTTAAAAATAATTATTTTAATGAGTATGAAATCTAAAATAAAGATAATCTTTTAACTATTATTTTTGTTGAAAAATAATTTTTTGTTTAAACATAAAAAATTAAATATAAACTATCTAAATCAAATATAAATAATCCATATATGATCAGTTTGGATGCTCTTTACTTGATGTGCACCAAAACTCGTTCTGATTACTAGATTACCAACCGGACATTTTTGTATATTTGGATAGACAGAACTTACCTCTTTATTATTATATACTACCTCCGGTTCTAATTATAAGAGCCAGTTGATTAATTTGAGGAGATTAAGAAAGTAAGTTGATTTAGTTATTTGTCCTAAATAGATGTTGTTTTTCCTAAAATATCCTTACTAATCAAGTGTATTGACTAAAAATATCATTATTAGGAGGGCTGCTTTGGAAAAAATATATAAATATAAAAGAAAAAGTGGATAGGGTCTTATATTTAGGATCAAAATAAAAGTCAAAAAGGGTCTTATATTAAGGATTGGAGGTAGTATAATATATTTTTCGAACAACAATATCAATTATCATTTTCTTACTTCACTGTGTATCTTTAATTAATTTTTGTCTTCTTCTTAGAAAAGAAATTCAAATATTGTCTTATAATGAGAGGGCACGTTATGATCTATCGTAAAATTGTTTTTTAAAAAAAACGCGAAATGAAAGAAATAATTTCTCAAACGTTATTTTACAATTCTAGTACAAATTTTAAATATGATTTCAAATTTTAGAAGTAACAACCATATGTTTTGCCCAAGAATAAGTAAATTAGTTGAGAAAAATTACAATATCCCGATCTGCATGTAGATATTATACCTACTATCTTGTGTATGTATAGTCTGTTATAAGTAATGTGTGTGGGTAAATTTATAAAAGAACAGTAAATTGCTAAACTTTCTTGTTTGATGTTCGGTTCGGGTTTTAAACTATTCGATTGTATCAAATATACCACAAATAATTTCTTATAATTAAAACTGGAGGTAATATATGAAAAGAAAACTTAAATTGTCATTTTAAAATTAAAACAAAATAATAAAAATGCTCTTTATTAGAAATATAAAAAAAAAATCCCAATTCCCCGTCGATGCCACAACCTCAGGGGAGGTGGATGCCGACTTGCCAATAGAGGTTTTTTTTTTTTTTTGGAAAATCGGGTGGAGGTGGGATTTGCCACCACTTGTGGTTTGTGCTAAAATTAATTATGATCATTGAACTACCAAAACTTTATTGTTAATATAATGCAAAAAAATACTACCTCCGGTCCTAATTATAAGACCCAATTGACTTATTTGAGGAGATTAAGGAAGTAAGTTAAGTTAGTTATTTGTAATAAATAAGTGTTGTCATTCCTAAAATATCCTTGCTAATTAAGTATATTGGCTAGAACTATTATTATTAGAAGGATTATCTTGAAAAAAAAAATGCATAAATATAAGAGACAAAATGAGTTGGGGTCTTATAATTAGGACCAAACAAAAAGTTAAATGGTGTCTTATAATAAGGACCGGAGGTAGTATATATATAAGCCAACCACTTGGTTTTAACTTCTTGTTGTTACTAATTTTTGTATAGGTGTTGATTATATTTTAATAGATGTTAATGACATTCATTTAACAAGCAATAAGACTGCCTTTTCCGGTCATTTATAACTTCTGGATGGGTATTGACTACATTTCAATTGGGACTAAAAATTTTTGTTTAATACTAGCTCCCGTCCTTGATATAAGAGCTGATTTGACTTTTATTTTAGTCTTAAATATAAGATCCCAATCCATTTTGTTTCTCATATTTATCTATTTTTTTCTAAAGTAGTCCTTATAATAATGATAATTCTAGCCAATACACTTTATTAGCAAGAATATTATTTTAAGAAAGATATTACCTATTTATTATAAGTAACTAACTTAACTAATTTTTTTAATTTGCTTAAATTAGTCAACTAGCTCTTATATTAAGGATCAGGGGAAATAAGTAATATGGCCACTATTTTCATGTCATTCAAAAAAAATTTATAAGTATTTCAATAATAGGTATTAGCAACTTTAGAATATAAATTAACAAGTGGCAATTTTAACTTAAATAATAAATAATTATTACATCTTGTTAATTTCAACAATTATTGTTTTTTTTTATTTTAGGTTATTAAAGTATTAGATATTATATATGTTACAATATGCATAAGTTCGCAGTGGAATGCAGGCGTGTCGTTTCAGTGAAATACGTATGGCTTAACCTGCTTTGTTAGTCATTCACTTGGTGAGCCTTTTATAAATATAATTGAATATATTATAAAGGATTTAAATATGCGGTTAAAGATATCATTTCTTTCTATAGAGGAGAGGAGCTTTTTTTATATTTCTATATCTAAGATCCGACTTATATCGATAATAGTAATAAGAAATGAAGCATTATAGTAAGAAAAAGTTCGATTCAAAGAGGGAAGAAGAGGCAAAAATTAGAATAAAAATATCATTTGATTTGTCGATCCTCAAATAAAAAAAAATAAGTAAAGTTTCATCGTTAAGTGATAAATGGAAAATTCATGAAAAGTTATAATCACCACCGCGTGATAGTATACCTATACTTTTTCATTGACATTGTTTTTTGACTGGAAGATTAGGAGCTAATTATCGAGATTTTTGCCAGCTAGTAGAACTAGGATGTGTAATATGATGTTAATTATGATGCTTCTTTAAATTAACTGAAAGGCGTGTGTAAGAGAGAAGGTACAAATAATTCCTGACTAATGATTATTATGCCTTTTTTATAATAATTATTATGTTTTGTTAATTTTTATTCCAAAGTTATTAATACATACTGAAGTATTGTTAATACTCATAAAAAAATTGTGAATGACCTAAAAAAGTGGTCTTGTATGTTAGTTAAACGAAAGTTATTAATACCTATTAAAATATAGTCAATACTCATACAAAAGCTGAAAATGACCTGAAAGAGTGACTTTATTACTTGTTAAATAAAAGCTGATAATATTTATTGAAATGTAGTTAATATCTATATAAAAATTGTCAACAAAACTAAGTAACAACTAAATCACACAACTTATAAAGTTAGTTAAAATTGATTACAGACAATAAATATGTAAAGATGAAGTGGAAAAGAATGAGCAGAAGAAGATATAAGAGAAAATATAAAAAAGGATGAGAGAGATATATAATTAATCATGAATAAAAAAGTTGCATTAAATAATGAAATAACTTCAAATTATAGCTTATTAAAAAAAATCAAATCCCTTCAAAAATTAGTGCTTATATTTTGAACCTAAAAGAGTGTAGAGTTTTTTTTTTTCTTTTCCCCGTATTATATGAATGGCAAAACTTTAGCAGCTCAATGATATCCTTTATTTTTGTACAAACCGCCAAGTGGTGGTGAGATTATCCCACCTCAACCCAATTTCACAAAAAATCCTTCCTCATCGGTGGTGCCAATGGGCCTTTACTGAGGGGTTTGGATTTTTTTTATATAGTACTTCGATTTTAAATATAATATCTATTTTGTAGTACAATTTGTATTATAAAATAAATTTTATATTTAAGATAAGAAAAGTATATTTTTTTGGTAAATACAGTTTTTTTTATATTTTTTTAAGTAAAAGGCATTTTTTTATTTCAATTTTAAAATGATAAGTTAGATTTTTCTCACATTATAGTATTATGAAGTGTTAACTTCTAAAATTGAAATTTCATATTTTTAGCCTTTTTTTTTTCTGGTTATTATCCAGTACATCATTAAAAAGTTATGAGCTTGAGCCAGCTGGTCTCTCTCTTATTTTAATTTACTTTATTGGAGACTACGGAATTCATGAACTGTCCAAATTGCCCATGCTCTGTGGCCGATAAAAAAGGACCGCCATCCCGTCATGTCCCAGGCCCGTGGCCCTCCAATCTTTTACTTTCCAAAATCTTTAATATGAGAAAAACCAACCACACATCACCTCTTATTTTTAATATAAAATCTTATTTAATTTTTATTTTGATATTAAATAAAATCTTAATCTAATTTATTTTTTATATTTATATATATTTTTAAGGTAGTTCTTCTAATAATGATAGTTCTAACTAATATATCTAATTATTACGAATATTTTAAGAAAAATAATACATATTTATTACAAATAACTAACTTAACTTATTTTCTTATTCTACTTAAATTAGTCAACTAGCTTTTATATTTAGGATCGGAGGTAATATCTTTTATCAATGGAGAAATTCTTGCATACACTCAGCGCACCACATCATTCATACTCTGACCAGTAAAAATATGCCATATCACTCATTTTAATCCTACGTGTAAGCTTATGTGTTAGTCTTGGAATTTATTTTAGATTGATTGATTCCTCTTCTTTCTCTCTCTCCCTCCCGGTCAACCATTTTCTTTTGGCGCCACTATTCTCAAATTCAAACCAAACACAGCTTCATTACTTTGCCTCTGGACATGGCTTCTTCTGAAACTACAGTGGCAACATCTTCACTCAACCCTTCCTTTGGCTTCGGACGCTCCCATTAAGGCCACCGTCTTCATGACTCACGGCGACTTCTCCGACACTGGCCTTTTAGTAGATCTGCATTCACTACGGCTGCAGGGGTTACACGCGGTCTTTTGTCGCTGACTTCCTTGGCCACAAATCTGACCGCATTTGATGCTACCTCGGTAACATTGAGAAGGCCGCTGCCACTTTCCTCTCTTTCTTTCTT